TAATTTGGTCCCCTAATATTTTCTTTTTCAAACTTTGAGCAGTGGATGACGGCAGGAAGAGGAATAATCCATTCTGAAATGCCTGCTGGTGAAGGAGCCAATAAGGGTTTACAGCTTTGGATCAATCTCTCTTCTAAGGACAAAATGTATGGCAAACTTTAACTTGCACTACATATGTTAATTGCTTTGTTTTAATTATCAGGAGCTCAGTTTATTATTACATAACCCAAAATTTTTGCAGGATTGAACCAAATTATCAGGAGCTTCTAAGTGAGGACATCAAGAGGGCAGAAAAAGATGGTGTCCAAGTCAATATCATTGCTGGCGAATCAATGGGAGTTCGATCCCCAGTATACACAAGAACTCCTACAATGTACCTAGATTTCACCATAAATCCTGGAGCTCAGTTTCACCAAGGCATCCCAGAATCTTGGAACGCCTTTGTGTACATGATTGAAGGTGAAGGTGTGTTTGGAACACCAAATTCAGCAGTTGTGTCTGCTCACTATGTACTTGTTTTAGGTCCTGGAGAAGGTTTGAGTGTGTGGAACAGGTCGGATTCGAAGAGCTTGAGGTTCGTGCTGATTGCAGGGCAGCCGTTGAATGAACCGGTGGTGCAGTATGGACCGTTTGTGATGAACACACAAGCTGAGATTAATCAAACCTTTGAGGACTATCGCCTTTGCAAGAATGGGTTTGAAATGGCCAAGTATTGGAGGTCTCATTGAATTGGGTTATCCAAGTGTTATATTTTAAAATTAAAAAAATAATAATAATAAAAGGTCCCAACTTCTAAACAGAGTTGCTATATTAAAATTGAACAATTGCATTTTTTTTTATTAATCATGTTATATCCTTGATGAGTTTGTATATACACATAAAATAAAGTTTATTGTTTTAGTTTCAATAAATTTGTGTTCTTTATTTTGTTAACTAATATTTGAGTTTTTGGTAAGACTAACGAGAAAACAATTTTTTATGAATTTTTAATTCAAGTGTAAACAATTTGTTTTTTACCGAACTGGATAGAGTTAGTTTCAAGGTGCACCTAAATTGATTTGTGAACACCATGACCACTAAATAAAAAAAAAATAATGTACAATATGGTAAAAATTAATGAGATGGAGGGTATCTAATAATAATTTAGGGAAACATTAGATTTTAGGGTAACATCAAGAACGGCGCCGTTTCGACATCATGGCCATAAGAAACCTAAACGGGCCATTACTCGATGCCCAAATGTCTTAGAAGCCCAATTACACCAAGTACGGTCCATTAGCATCATTCAAAGCCCAAACAGCCGATCACATTAATCTTTAGAGCCCAGCAAAGGAGGTAGCCGTTAGTTACGTGAGGTTGCCAGTTGTCGACTCCTTTTTGATTTTTTCGCCGTTACCTCTGAATCTTCGGAAGTTCGCCGGTTTTTCAATTTCCTCGTCTCTGATCCCACCGCTCCCGGTCGTTCCTGCCGTCGATCAAAGTGATCCGATTTCCGACGCTCTTCCTTTCTTAATTTTCGCTGTTATCTCTAAAAACTCGCCCGATCCAAACCCTAGCAAGCACCAGAATTGTTTAATCAATCTGAATCCGCCCAGCCGCTCATGGTTTTCAGTTTCCTCGTCCCTGAATCCACAGCTCTTGGTCGATCTTGCCGCCTTCACTCGATTGTCTCTCAAAATTCGTCTGATCCAAACCCTAGCAATCACCAGAGTTGTACAATTTCTCCGACTCCACACGATCCTCCTGGTTTTCAACCTCCTCGTCCCAATTCCAGGCTGCCGCTCGGTCTTGCCGCTGATTAAGGTAATCCAATTCTCTTTCCTTAATTTCATGGTCCTTTTTTTTTTTTTTTGGAAATTTCATGGCCTTTTTTTTTCAGCTAATCAAATTTAGTACTCCCATAGCCTGGGCCTTAGCTAATTTTTAATTTTGTTTATTCCATCATATACTCTTATTATCTCATTAAATGCTTTATGTCATGAACGTAATTCAATTTCTTGTGTAAAGTCTATGTGGGAGAAAGTAATGCGTATAATTTGCTTGCATTTGATTTAGATGTATATAAGTTGGAGCATTTACGTACAAGTTGGATCTTGCTATGTAATTAGCTGAGTCATTACCTTAGATTTTATGAGTGAAGTATTATTGTTACATCTTCTGCCTCAAATCATTAGGGGACATTCACTTGGACTTGCGGCTGCCGGTTGTATGTCTTTTTGAGTATTGCATTGTCCTCTGGTTCTTTTGCATGTATTACCTGTGCAATTCTTGTTTTGCAGAGTGACGATTCTGGCTAATGGGATTGTCAATTAGTTCCATACATTGCATGTTTACTAACAGAATTAAAAAAAAAGAAAAAGAAAAAGAAAAAGAATTGCATTTATTTCTTAATATTGATCATCTGTTGCCTTTTTTCTGTTCAACCACTGTAAGTGGCAATCATAACTCATAAAGGTAAGTTTTGCCTAGCCATATGCTTGATACTTGATGGTCCACATTGTTTCTTGCCAATTCTCAGCCTAGCTAAGCTTTATTATCTTTATCTGTGTTGAAACTTCTATGTGATGAAACTATTCAATGGCAATCACTCGTCTTTTTTTCTTGCCAAACATTTTATTTTTTTCTTAATATTTGGTGCTCCTATGGAATTTGTTTTACTTTAGATTACAGATTCCACGTATGCTTCTCAATAGGCAACATGATATTTGATATGTTGGGATCAAATGGCTTGACCATAGAATAAAACAAGATGATATTTTGTCAAGTAACCAAAGAAAAGTGAAATGGTAGAAACAATAGCCTAGAAGATGTTTCCATGCAAAAGCCATGTTATATGGTAAACCTTTCATTTTATGTTTTAGATTTATAGTTGAACAACTAATTTTGTGCTGTGATGACTTTTATAAGGAACAGATTTGGCCTTGACCTTGATGCTTCTCATCCATGTCAGAACTTAAGGCTTTCTCACAAATCACAATATTGATGGATTCTACAATTTTAAAAGTAATTTTTTGGTCATTTATTTTTTATTTTTGTTTAATATATACCAAAATTAAGATAGCGGATTTCTCTGAAATAATTACCTACTGCTATGTGTTACTTTTTTATTTTCTAATACCCTTATTCAGCTAATGAGAACTTTAAGAAAGAACTTATAATGGGCCAGTTTGATTACATTGAGATTTTTTTAAGACATTAAAACTACCAAGAAAAAACTTGCACATGCAAGAAATTTTGCTAGGAAAAATAAACTTAATTACGACCAATAATCATGTCAAAGGTTATTTGCATGGATATGTTTGACTACGAGAGAAAAGTTTGAGATCTTATTTGATTCAAAGAAAATCATTTTTTGTTCTCAAATGGCTTGCCACTTGTGGAAGTATCTTATCAAGTCCTTGTAGTCTTAGTTGCTTAAGGAGGAGAATGAAACATGTGTGAGGAGATGAAAAAATAAAGGTCTGGAAAAGATTGGCAAATTGGAAACATGAGCAGGTGAGGGATTGGAGAGAAGTTGAGGCTCAAACACGTGCAAGAGGGTGTTGTGTGTCTTGGTAGTGTGAGGAAAAAAAGGAAGGTACTGTGGAATATCTGCATTGCAGTGGAGAGGGTTTGTCTCCTTTTGACCACTTTGGGCTTGAATTTCCTTTGGTTGAGATTTAAAATTTGTCAAGGTTTGAGAAAGGAAAAAGTCATTTTTCCACACTTTTTTTTTTCTTTTATCTTTTGCCCATCTCTAAGGTTCTTGAATGATGAAATCATTGTTAAAGCTTTTTGATGTTACATAACTTTACTTGATTAAACTGTGAATGTGATTGACCTGCTGAGTAGAATTTTGAATTTCAAATGCTCCTTTATGCCTTGTGTTTCATGCATCAAGAGTGTATAAAATGCTCAAAATCATGTTATTAGAAGTGCTTCCATAGGGATTATGCGTGAGTAAAGTTTAGTTACATGGCATGGCAAGCCAAGTCCAGTAAACTTTAGTTATAGTAAATTCTAGGGTATGCAATGTCTTGTGATGTTATATAGGTAGATCCTTTGGTTTTGGGAGAGATTTTTTGTACACCAGATGGTAAAGTGTCAATAGATAGATGGGTTTAACCTAGGCCTTTAAAGTTGGGGGTGTGGTGACTACAACTGTAGGAGTAGTGGTATTCAAAATGTTGGAAGAGTCTCTTAAATTCATAATGGAACTTCTCACCAGGGTCTTGGTGATGTTTTGCATCGGAAATGGGAAAGTGGTGGCTAAGGTGTCTGAGTGCAGAGTAAAATCATAACCAGAGGGCATTAGTTCATTTTGGGTTTGCCTGGTTTTGACTATTGCGTAATTTGAGTCTCACCTTGAAGCCCAAGATAATGACTAAAACTTCCAAAATATAAATGACATTCAGTTGTTCTGTTTTAGATTTTAAGAGGCCTTTAACCCAAGCTGAAACAACAAACAGCTGCTGACACCCAAAATCAGGGTTGATTGTTTTAAGGGGACTAAAGCTAGCAATGGAGGGAGAAAAAGGTTACAACAAGCTTGGATGATGTATAGCACCATAGTTGTGTTAGGGGTGGTTAAAAAAGGAGGGGAGGGGGGTTGTTTATATGTTTAGTTGAAGTTGAAGTTGGTGAGAGAAAGTTTCTAGGTCAAAGATTGTCATTTAATTCAAACCTTGCTTAGAATTATCACTATGACGCCTCATGGACCTTTAGCATGGTTGGTGTAAGGACTTTGTCAGGTTCCAAAACAATCAAAGATCTGAAACTTTTTGAGATCACTAAAATAGGTATGCTTATCATTGTAGTTGAAACTTGGTGTTTTAGTTATGCTAAGTTTTTCTAGAATAGTGACTTAGGAAGAAGTAATATGTATTAATAATTAGGATAATGTACTACCAGATATTTATAGGAAAGGAAGTAAACAAGAAAAAGAAACTCAGAATTTCTAGTAAGTTGCAATGGTAGACATCCAAGATTTTTGGATTAGGGGGGTTTAGGTTTTCCTTGTGGAGTAAAATTCATGTTAAAGGTTTTAATGAGATGTAATTTGATTGGATATAAGAAATTTGGAGCAAGAGCAAGATGCTGCTCAATCAAAGATTTTAGTTGTCTGGATACTTCATAGCTCAAAGTTTTGATTTTAAGAAATATGGCATCAATGAGCATAGAAGAGTAGCTTTGTCTGCTAAGAAGATTGTTCATGAGATAAGCATGTATGAATTTGGGAAGCCTGGATTGTTCAGTTTAAGATGAACATGTATGGATATGGGAGACTAGATTATTCAGTCTGAGATGAGCATGTGTTGAATTTTGGAAGTCTATCATCAGGATCCAGGACCATTGGTAGGAGAAATGTCCAGTTTCTTTAAATATTCAGATTATATGATGCAGTTTGGAGTAGAGGTTGTGGCTTCTGGGTTAAGCTTAACTTCTTAGTTGATCCACATCCATAATGTGAGGAGAGGTTAGTCCAACAATCTTTCGAGTAAGTCATAGGCGTGAAAGGAAGCACTTTTTTGAGCATTTTATACATATTTCAGTGCACGAAGGAGCATTTGAAATTCATACTTTTCTTAGCAGGCAAATCACTTTTACAGTTTACTTTAGTAAAAGTTTTGTAAGATCCGAATTTTTTAACAATTATTTCATTGCTTTTGAATAACAGCATAAAGGGTAAAAGAAAAAGAAAAAAAAAGAAAAGTGGAGAGGTAACTTTTACTTTCAAACCTTAACGAATTTTAATAATTAATCCAAATGAGATTTAATGTCCAGAGAGACCAAAAGAGACCATCCCATCCACTGCACACAGTCCATCCACTTTTTCTTCTTTCTCCAAACATTACCGAGCCATTCCCACCTCCTGCGTGCGGAAAGAAACCTTGACACTCAAACAATCCTTTACAAACTTTTGTTAAATTTTGCCACTCTTTTTTCTCTCGATCATCTTTATTTTTCCATCTCCTCCAACATACTTCATTGTCCTTCCTGGACAGCCGAGACGAGTTGGGCTTACCTAGATTCTTTCGCATTTGGCTTAACATTAGGAACAGAAAAATAGTGATTTTTATTTGGGATCTTGTAAGATCTTACACGTTTCTGTCTTGATTGGACATAGCTATTCAAATAAGTTTGAACATGACATGACACCGACGCAATTAATTGGGGGTAAATGCTGCCAATTTTCTATTACAAATACTTATTTTTGTCGATTCTCTGATGTTTTGTTTCTTTTTCTTTTCTCTTCTTTTTTTACAGGAAGTACGAGCAAAGGTCGAGATGTAGAAGATAGTCGGTTGTTGTTGACTATGGCTAATTGAGACTTTTTCGGCGTTAATTGAGATTATTGTTGTATATTATTGAAAGACTAAATGACGAATGTACTCCCTATATTTGACTTGTTCATTTTGATAACATTACTAATATTGCATATATTTAATTAAAGTTCATAGATCCTATCATCACAGAGTAAACAAAAAAAAAAAAATATGAGCATCAACAAGAAGAACTCAAAGTTTATCAAAGGGAGCTAGACACAATGTAACATCTAATGATGGATTTTGTTTGTTTGTTGAAAAGAATGAGAATACCCAAAACTTTAATGATGACAAAAAGTTTATGGCTTAATTCATTCCTCAACTCTTGACAAATTTTCATGCAAACAACTAACTTGAAAATGATCGGTCGAAAAAAGGTAAGATGGTTATGGAGAATAAAAGTAATGATTGACATTTGAGAAAGGTGACTCTCTTAATTTGATGGTAATTGATATGCATTTACTAAAATGGTGTTTATTTTGTTAAAAAAAAAGGTGGTATTTTTTTTTTTTAATTAGAAGAAAGCTTTTGGTGCAACAAGTATATAGCATTATGGATGGGTTTGGTTTATAAGTTTTTCATGAAAAAAATTAGGAAGCCTAACATTTTTTTTTTATTTGTCTTTAAACTTTAGTACAAAAGTCAAGAGAGATATAATCTTGTTATAACTAATTATAACAACTTTTTTATGATATTGTTTTTTATCAAAATATTTGAGAACAATTCCTTTTCAAGAGACTTATCTCTTTATTTTTTGGGCTGTTATAATTAGTTATAATCAATTGTAATCTATTTTCGCTCTTTTTGACTCTTGTGCTAGGATTTTGAAGTAGAGCCAAAAAATTTTGCTCGGCTTCCTAGATATATTTTTCCTAAAAAATTGATAAACCAAGCACACCTTGGATTTTATAAGGCGGCTTAGTCAATGAAATCCACCTCCACATAGCATGTTTAAGTACATTTTAGTATAAACATATTTTTTTAGATGGTGATTATACAATGAAAGGTGATCCTTTTTTAATCAATTATTTCATATGACTCATATATCATATAATTTAAATTTAAAATTTTTTATTTTTAACAAAAAAATTATTATTAAATTACTTAAGTTATTGATCATTTTAGCTTAAACATTAACTTGATTTAATATGTAAAATCTCTAATGTGATATATGTCATATATCATATAATTTAAATTTAAAATTTTTTATTTTTAACAAAAAAATTATTATTAAATTACTTAAGTTATTGATCATTTTAGCTTAAACATTAACTTGATTTAATATGTAAAATCTCTAATGTGATATATGAAACATCTCTAATGAATTAACTTCCTATTAGTTTAAGAATATATTAAATAAATTTTCACTTTTATTAATTTAAATGGTTAAGGCATTTTTAACAAAGTTTCATGTATTTAAAAACTTTTTTTTTTCTGAAATTTTTTTTTAAGAAGGTACTCCTATGAATCCAGTGTATTTAAGAAATGTATTACTCTTACGTTTCAAAAAAGAAGTGCATTAGTCTTAAGACAAAAACATTACACCTAACCTAAGAAAAAAACAAAGTTTAAAAAATTTTCCTTTTTTGGAGTTGGTGCCAACATTCCAATTGGCAAAACCTGAGACTGTAGATGAGGTTTGATGTCGGCCGTTGGATCTGATTGGGTCGGGAATATAACACGGCGGGAAACTGATAATTTGGTGAGGCCACTCCCTCCAAAACTCCCAATTTCCAAAGCTCACATCTTCAAAAACCCTAGCTTTGCTCTCTACATCTCAGAGCTCTCTTTCTCTCCCCTCCATGGCATTTCTCGAGAAGCGCCAGGACGACGATGCTATCGGCATTGACACCACTGATCCCAACGCTCCTCTTCGCTACCTCTCCCTCGACCGTATTTACTCCACGGCTTCTCTCTGTGTTGGATCCAACGTCATGTCCAAGAAGGTCAAAGCTCGGAAGCTCATCGTCGGCGATCCTCCTCCTCCTCTTCCTCCTCCTCCTCTTCCTCTTCCTCTTCCTCTTCCTCTTCCTCCTCCTCTTAAGTCACACAAGCCTCCTCTCTTACGCGTCTACACTCGCCGTCCTAAAAGCCCACCTACTGACACACCAACTAAGTCGTACTGTGGCTCTTTACATGCTCGAGATGGGGAATCGGCTTCTCAGGTGGCAGCTAAACTTGAGATTGCTGAATTTGAAGAAGTTGGGGGGAGAGAAACGCAAGGGCAGAGTGGGCATTTGAATAAAAGGAGGAGAGTTGGGAGCAGTGAATTGGTTAAATTAGGGATTAATTCTAATTCCACTGTTTTATGGGAGCTTGAAAGGCCGCGATTGAGAGATTGCCGCAATAATAGCAATGTTAATAAGGGAAATAGTGGGAGCTCCAGGAAGAGGAAGCGGGATTGTACCAAAAATCTGGAGAAAGATTCATCTAGTTCGATCACAAAGAAAAAATGGTTCAGGTTAGGTTTAATGGTTTCTAAGAACTCGGCAAGAAATTTACGTAGTTACTTATTTTTTGAACTCTTTAATTTATTCTTTCTGTTTGGTTCTCTTGATTAAATTGATGGAAGAAGCTGTGACCTTAACAGGTTGAGTTTTGATGGTGTTCATCCAGAAGCATTCATTGGGTTGCGGTGCAAGGCAAGATTTAGATGATCCTTCAATGTTTCTAAATTTTAGTAGCCTAATCGTTTTTCCCCAATTGAAATTAAACTGGTTGAGTACAGGTCTTTTGGCCATTGGATGCTGATTGGTATATGGGTCGAGTTGTTGGATACAACTCTGAGAGTAATAGACATAGTGTATGTCCCTTGTCCCTTCTTGTACTTTTTAATTGGCTAAATTGTTATGTATTAGGGTCTATTACTCCTTTTTCTTCTGATGATTTAAATTGTTTTAAGATATATATATAATTTCTGTTTTAATTATTATGCTGGTGATTTAAAATGACAATCATTTTAATAGCAGGCAAAATGTGATGCAGGTTAAGTATGAAGATGGGGATCAGGAAGATTTGGTTCTTTCAAATGAGAATATAAAGTTTTGTATTTCTCTGGAGGAGATGGGATGCTTGAACCTTAGTTGCAATGTTAATGTTACTGATAATGATGGCTATCATTATGATGAAATGGTTGTGTTGGCTGCCTCTTTAGATGACTGCCAAGGACTTGAGCCTGGGGATATCATATGGGCTAAACTCACTGGTTTGTGTTAAATCTACCTACTTGCTTTAATTATTAATTTGAAAATGGTAGTGATGCTGATTTTATTTTAAGATGTTACATGGAAACCCTTCTTCAATTTCACGAGAAATAAAGACTATCAACCCTTGTTTGTGTTGGTGATCATTGGCTGGCAATACTTGGGTTTTATATAGTTATTCTGTAAAGATCATTGTTGTAATCTCTGGTCATCAATTGACATGTGGGATTTCAGAAAGAGCTTAACAACTATGGGTGCCCCAATTTATTATTATTATTATTTTATTATCATTTTTTATTTTTGTCTCCAAAACCAAAAAAATAGGTCTTGTACCATTTTATTATCGAGTTTATGTGCATACATGGTCTTTTCATGCATTAACTGGCCACAATATGTTACCATGGCTGAGAAGGTTATGATATGTGACTAATCTTTTAGTTTTGTGGTGTAGGTCATGGTATGAGTTTATGCTACTATGAGTTGAGTATTATCCTTAATTTTGCTCAGTTTGTTTATGACTGATCCTTTCGTTTTGTAGTGCAGGTCATGCTATGTGGCCAGCAATTGTTGTGGATGAATCCCTTATTGGTGGTTGCAAGGGTTTAAGCAAAATTCAAGGAGGAAGATCAGTTCCTGTACAATTCTTTGGTACCCATGATTTTGCGAGGTCTTTTTTTTTTCTTATTAAATTGTGGGAAATCTGATCTTCCAGGTTGCATTAATATCTTATTTTTTTTCTTTAATGCTGATGCCATTTTCTTCTGGTAATTACCAGAATAAAACTGAAACAGGTGGTCTCATTTCTCAAAGGGCTTCTCTCTTCCTTCCATCTAAAGTGCAAGAAACCTCGTTTCACTTGGAGCTTGGAAGAAGCAAAAAGGTAAACTTTACACACACACATACCATTCACCTTTTAATATTTGGAAGAACGAGGCTTTCATTTAGTCCATCTAACAAAAAAGTAACAGAGACAAGATAACATTTTAGTTTATTCCTCAAAGGATTCTTCAATGACTGCAATGTCTAAAGCTTAATTTATGTGGCTCCTCACAGGCCTTTTCCTGCATTCTTAGCTCTTTTGAACTTGCACATAGAGATGGGACCATTGACCTATTAGTTATTCTCTTACTTGCTTTTTCTTGTTATATCTTTGGATTTTTGGAATCAATAGGAATTTGACTTTAGGTTAATTGGCGTATGGTTTTGTTAATGGTTTCAAGGGGCACATATCCATATCTTCCAGGAGATTTTAGTTGTTCTATTTCATCAATTTTGTATTCTCATTTATTACCCCAGCCCAATTTTTATTTTCTTTTTTTACTGTTTTGTAAAATGTATTGGAACATAAGCCTATAATGATGTATATGGTGTGTTGTTTTTCAAGTAATTGTATTTGCTGCTGCTTACAAGGCTTGTTTTTCAATCAATTGCTTCTAACTAGATATCTGAGCGAACGTAAACTTCCAAAAAGAATGCAACAACTGCAAAAAAGAATTGATGCTGATAATCTTCAATGCAAAAGTAATGAGTATGAAGAGAACACAGAGTCAGATGATGATTCCAGAAAAGATGAAGGGATCCTGAGAGCTGCAGAACTTCTAGACTCTCCATACGTAGAGGGGGATTTACAAATAATAAATCTTGGTAATTACTAGAATTTATTACTTTCCTTTGTCTGATTGCCCTCTTAAAAGTTTTAAGATATTACACATTTTGGTTACAATCTTGCATTTAATCCCATTTTCATGAACTGAAGTGTCTGGTTTGTGGCTTGCGAGCTTAATAGAGATGGACATGCTAATATGCCATATACATTGGTGATTAGACATCATTTGGTATGAAATATGCTTTGAGATCTTTATTCTTGTTCAGCTTGCAACGAAGTCTTTAGTACATGTAAAAAGGATGCTTACTATGCAAGAGGGCATGTGATAGATTTGAAAGAATTTGATGTCTAAACAATAGTTGGAGAGTATGTTTATAAATTAGGTAGATTGGGGGAAGAGGATTTGTGTGGCGAGTGAATTGAAATGAAGGACACCGCATATTGTTCAGTATGATTTGTAGAAAGGATAATAGCTGTATACTGTATGACATATGGACAAGGTATGAGGATTATTGATCATTTTTTTTTTTTTTTTTGTGCTTTTCTTACAGGAGAGGTTGTTAAGGACTCAGAATATTTTCACGATGATGGATTTTTCTGGCCTGAGGGGTATACTGCCCTGAGGAAATTTTCATCAATAACAGGTGAAAATTTTTGCAATATTCATTTTCCTATACCATCATGAAAGAATGCAACTTTTAGTTTCTGTTGATAATGAAGTTATTGTGTCATGACTAATTATTTCTTTTGGTTTTCTTTCTCCCTCTTGTGGATATTAGATCCAAGTGTTTGTACTTTGTATAAAATGGAAGTGTTGAGAGACCCTCAATCAAAGAATCGACCTCTATTTAGAGTGACAATTGATAATGGAGAGCAGGTTAGTTGTAATTGGGTGGAATGAATCTAATTCTGTCTTTATTACCTGTTATTTAGTTACTAATTTTCCTGCATTGCTGTTCTGTTGCATCATCTTTGTGTTTCTTCTGTCATGCTTGTATTTTATTCATGATATATCATTGGTCACTTTGTCCTAGCTACTTTGCATTTACCTTTTCAAAGTTTAGTAAATATAAAATGATCAGTCTGTGTTTTGGTTTTGACAATTCCTAGGAACTATGCAGTTGGGACCCTATCCCTGCTAGCAACCCAAGAACTGCATTTAAAACCTTGCATTTTTTTTTTTGTTGGATAAAATGTGAGCTTTACTTATCCAAATAAAGACTTAGCAGCACTTGTTAATGGTTGCTACTACAGTTCAATAGAAAAAATGTTTTTACCATCAAATCTGCTAAAAGCAAATCTCTACAAACAGTTAAATCTGTACAGCATATTCCAATCCCCAATTGCACTTGTTTTAGGCCCCTGGAACATATTTATGTGGTTGTCAGCATGCAGCTCTTGTGTTGTTATAGTTACCAAATTTACCATCATGTATCACTGCTATTATTATTATTATTCTAGATTGTCCGTAGTGATTTTCTAGTTATTTCTTATGGATGAAATTCTTGAATGTGGTACTGAAATATTTATTTAGTTTGAAGGATCAACTCCCTCAGCATGCTGGAATAGAATATATAAAAGAATACAAAAGATACAAAATGGTACTTCAGATAGTGCTGAAGTTGAACTGGGAAGGATCAGTGTATCTGGTCCTGACATGTTTGGTTTCTCAAATCCTGAAGTTGTAAAACTAATACAGGTATGGGATTCAATTCCTTTCCCTTAAAAAATTCAAAGTTGCACCCTAGTTGTCTTTTTATTATTATTATTATTATTATTTATTATTATTCTTTTTTTATGTTGCTTTTTCACTTCTTAGTTGGCTTTGTATTCCATTAACTAATTAAAGGTTTATCTTCAAATATTTTTATGTCATTTTATGAATTTTTACTTTTACTTTACTTTTTCTCATTCTACATATTATTCTACTTGTATGTGGAAATTCATTGTATTTCTTCTGAAAATTTTAGCCCATTTGATTGATGGACAAAGAGAAGTAAAATTAAAAGCAAATGAAACTTTTTTTTTCCATCTGGTTATAGATATTCACTATTGCTTTGCTTTGTCCCATTCCTTTTTTGGTTGCTGTGGTTTTATTGTACTTTTTGCCACATTGGAATTGTTGAGACCTTAAAATACATATAAAATTTATAAGCAACAGACATACAATTTCAAAGTACTCCCTGTTATATTTGTTATGCTAAAGCAATTTCCAATGATGTTGACAGGACTTGTCAAAATCCAGACTTACTTCAAAGTTTTCTAAATGCAAGCTGGGGTCTGGAAGATATAGAGAGCTGGCTGTCGGGTACAGACCTGTTCGAGTTAAGTGGAAAGACCTTGATAAGTGCAGTGTATGCCACATGGATGAGGTAAAAGGCATTTTCAGTTTCTATGTTACATTTGTAGCACTTTCTTTCTTCATGTTGGATTGCAATGTGTTAGAGAATCCTGGGATTAGGAAATAGAATTTTTCTGTGATCAACATAGGTTTTGTTGTTTTAGATTTTTAGTGAGGTGGGAAGACTAGTTAGTAAATTAATTGATAATTTATTTACAAGATTCAATTTTTATATTAGAGATTGGATCAATCTTATGATTGTGAATGGTATGATTTGATAGCAAACGAGTGCTAGTCACTTTTGGAATTCAAGTTGAGCAATGAAAAGTGGTTAGATGGGTCCTTTTAGGTGTTACTGAGGCTGATTATATGATAAAATAATGAAGTTAAACAATGAGGATGGCAAGATATTTTGTCTCACTAAGCTTTTTCTGATTGTCGGTTGTAAAAATTATAAACTTGTTATGGACCAGTAAGTGAAGGGAAATAAAAATTATATCTTGTCAACCTCTAGTACTGTAAGTTACATGAAATGCCTGTCATGTAAAGTTAACTAAGAGGCTAACTTAAATGCAGGAAAATAAATGATCCAATCATAATCTTAATCTTTTTAGCATAAATTGGGCTTGATTTTGGACCTACTCCACATGCATGCAGAACCCATAGGTCCCTACCCAATTTTTTCTTATCTTCTTTGGCAACCCTTTGCTTGTTGACATTTTATTTAGTTGTATACCATTGATCCTGTCATGATCACCATGTTTGATTTTGTTTGATTTTCTAGGAGTACGAGAACAATCTTTTCCTGCAGTGTGACAAATGCAGAATAATGGTAAGGGCAGCTACTTTCTTTGGTTTCAATGTTCTAGTTTATGCATTATCATTGATCCAAGTCCTGCATCATCTGTTAAATTTTCCACTGTATTTATTATTGTTATCAAACATCCGTGTTAGTCAACTAAAATTGCTATTGTTCATATCATGTTGTGACTTGCAGGTCTTTCCATTGTATGAATTTGCATATAGTTTGCTTTTTGAATCTCAGACTTCTTTAATCTGAAGCAATGGTCGTGCAGGTCCATGCTAGATGCTATGGAGAACTAGAACCTGTTGATGGTGTACTGTGGCTGTGCAACCTATGTCGCCCAGGGGCACCCGAGTCTCCACCTCCTTGCTGCCTTTGCCCTGTTGTTGGTACTTTCAATTTTTGAGGCTTCCTTTTCTCAAAGCATGGATTATTTGTTGTTCTCTCAGTGAATTGATTTTCTTTAGGGGGTGCAATGAAGCCTACAATGGATGGTCGCTGGGCTCATTTGGCTTGTGCAATATGGATACCTGGTTTGTGCTAAATAATTTTCATGTTATTTCTTCCCTTGTTTTGCTTAGATGTATTGATGTATGTAAAATGCTTCAGAAACCTGCCTATCTGATGTCAAGCGAATGGAGCCCATTGATGGGCTAAATAGAATCAACAAGGTATTTCTTATTTTATTTGTCAAGTTTCACATATTTTCTGTCTTTAAGTATTCTCTCCTGAGGATCAGCAGGCTTCTGTAACAAATTAATTATTGAATATCAACCTTTTTATCCATGGAAATCAGATCCATAATGATCAACTGATGTCCATTTCTTTTCTCTGGGTCATTGGTTTTTGGATATTTAACAGGACCGTTGGAAGTTGTTATGTAGCATCTGTCAAGTATCATATGGAGCCTGTATCCAAGTAAGCTCATGATTATCTCTAGTCTATCTATTGTGTATATATAGCCAGAAAAAGAATTGTGGAAAATCAAACAGAATTTGAAAGGATTTGAACTATACATGGTGGCATTCATTTCTGAAATGATTTTTGCAGTGTTCAAATAGTACATGTCGAGTAGCATATCATCCCCTATGTGCACGTGCTGCTGGTCTTTGCGTTGAGGTACTTTCAATCTAGTAATATGTGATTATTGGGTATCCATTATAATTTGTATTGTTGATTGATAGTATGGTTAATTCTTCATATGCATGCCAACTAGATCCTCTTTTTATTTTTATTTTTATTTTTTAATGTTTTAACAGCTTGAGGATGAGGACAGACTTCATCTCCTGTCAGTGGATGATGAGGATGAAGATCAATGCATTCGTCTAGTTTCTTTTTGCAAGAAGCACAAACAACCATCTAATGAACGTAAGACAGTTGATAAATGGATTTGTGGAAAACTGCATCAATGTTATGACTACATTCCTCCAATTAATCCATCTGGCTGTGCCCGTACTGGTATGCCATTGATCACTCATCTCTTCCATATATTTAAGACTTTTGCTATCTTTGAAAGGATATTATTTTATACTATTTTCACCCCATTAGCTTCTGTGAGTTGCACAGCTTAAGGTTTCTGGTAGATGATTGGTTATGCATGAACCAATGATGATAAATGATAATCTTTCCTGATGTTACTTGTATTTTGGATTTCACAAATTGGGGGGTGGTCTTGCCAGAAAGGAGAGATTTTATTAATTTAGAGTTTAATGAGTTCTTTCAGCTTAATACATGTCCAGCCTTTTATTTTGCTTGGATTTGTAAGATTGAGGCTGAATTTATGTTGGATACTTGCATTGATTTTATAATACCACTGTCAACAGAGCCTTACAATCATTTGGGGAGAAGGGGCCGGAAAGAGCCTGAAGCTCTAGCTGCTGCATCCTTGAAGCGCCTGTTTGTAGAGAATCAACCTTACTTGGTTGGTGGGTACTGCCAACGTGGGGTGCCAGCCAGCATGGTTCCTTACAGTAGGGTTACTGGCCTGAAAATCTCTTCTGGTCTTCACAGGCTAAAAGCATTCCAGCCTTATTCTGTGGACAACATTCTTTCTGCGGCTGACAAATATAAGTACATGAGGGAGACTTTTAGAAAGAGATTGGCATTTGGTAAGCAGTTTTATATAGCTTATTTTATGATGGTTCACTTTACAAGTGTCAGCTAAGCTGTGCACTTTTTTTTTTTTTTTTTTTAAAAAAGGATGTTGCTCTGTAAGTATCATGCTGCATGTGTCCTTACCATGCTAAGCCTAGTTTTAAAGATGTTTGGAATTGCATTTGACTTTAGGTAAATCTGGGATTCATGGGTTTGGCATCTTTGCAAAGCATCCACACAGGGCAGGTGACATGGTAAAAACTGACTGGCTTTTAACGCTGTACTTTTTTCTTAAGTGTTTTGAGTTATTAAGTATACATTAAGCGGTGTTTTGTAGGTGATTGAATACACTGGTGAGCTTGTTAGACCATCTATAGCTGACAGAAGAGAACATTTAATATACAATTCATTAGTGGTATGTACTCTTGATTCATTTACTTCGTGTTTGTATTATTGTTTTACGATCATTGCATTTTGGTACTGGCATTGCCCAATTTCAAGGTATTAGCACTTAAAATTCCTTAGATGCAGAGATTATGACACTAATGCATGTTTGGTTTTTTTCAGGCCACAATGCATGTTTGATTGGTGCAAATAAAAGGGGGGGGGGGGTGGCGGAGCAAATGGAATAAATATTACTGTAGGAATAAAATGAGAATGGGAAATGATATTAGTTATTATGTTTAGTTGGTAGAGTAGATTACATGTGAAAGTGCAAGTTTGTTGAATAGGATGTAGAATGTGGAATGATCAAGAAATAACAATTAAAAGACTAAAATGTCACTCATTAAAATCAATGAATGACACTTTTAAACATAATTGGCTTTGGAAATTCAATTCACTTTTATTAAGGTATATTGATCAGAAAATTATCTTTAACAAATTTATTTAACCATATATTTGAATTTCTTAATTATTTCTGAAAATTTTATATTAAGAATTTTTAAAGGTGAAATTTGTAAACTTTTGAAACTTGCGGTCAGTGCTCTGCAATAGCTTTATTTTTATTTTAGAAACTCTATGGTCAAAATGAAGTAAAAATTATGCATTTCGTTCTGTTGAATTGTTGGTTGTTTGTGAAGGTGTGCTTTAATATGGGAGCCTGATCTCAAGAAATTTATTGAGTGCATTATATTATGCAGGGTGCGGGGACTTATATGTTTAGAATCAATGCTGAGCGAGTGACTGATGCTACAAGGGCAGGAAGCATTGCACATCTAATTAATCACTCATGTGAAGTAAGTGCTTTTCACTTCTTGCACTTCCAGTCCTGTTTTTCCCCTTGGATAAAATGCATTATCTTACAGTGAAGTTTCTTCAGGCATAAATTACTTCTCCTAGCCATTGCAGTGCTTTATATAATTTCTAAATAATTTAAATTACCTGCATGCGTTAGCATTACAAATGATGATTTTTTGATATTTTTTTCATGTGCAGCCAAATTGCTACTCAAGACTTATAACTGTTAATGGTGATGAACATGTTATCATATTTGCAAAGAGAGATATTAAGAGATGGGAAGAATTGACCTATGATTATAGGTTTGCACCTTGTCCTATCCACAGGTCATTTTCTCTTGATTCATTCTGATTCTTTACCATCATCTCGCTATGTTGCAGGTTCTTTTCCATTGATGAGCGTCTGGCATGCTATTGTGGCTTCCCAAGTTGTCAAGGGGTTGTCAATGACACTGAATCTGAGGAGCAAGTGGCGAAGAAGATATATGTACCCCGCAATGAATTAACTGAGTGAAGGACACAATGAGGAAGGTAATAATGGAGAAGTTTCTTCTACTCTTTTATATAACCTTTATTTTGTGTTTAGAAAGTGTTGCTTATGCAGTAATGCTCGATTCTCAGAGTGTGAGTCTTTTATGCATGCTGATCTTTCCCATCTTTTTCCTGCAGATATTTCTTGCGTGGGTCTGGCTGGATCTTGTACATTTTTTGTCCACTTCATTAATACCCGAGACAGAGCAATTTTTTCTTTAGCTGTTTTGCTTCCCCCAATATAGAATATACTATTTTGGAAAGGCATTGTGCCATTATCAAGAAACTAATTAAATAACCATTTAACTCATTATTGATTGATTAGCCTGTAACATAGTAGTCATAGGAATCCAAATATTCCTCAATGCATCAATTGTTTTGTTTTGTTTTGTTTTGTTTTGTTTTGTTTTGTTTTGTGTGTAAAAGCATATTCAAAATATGAAGAAAAAAAAAAGGGAAGAGGATTTTCAAGAGCCATATTTGAGGTACACCAATTGGATTGAGTTTGTTTTTGAATTGTTTTAGCAGATACTTGAGACCTTTTTGGTTTAACGTCTACTCACCTTTGCATTTTCTTCAAACCAATTAACTCAATAGGATAATATGGTCAGTTTGGTAATGATTTTAATTTTATTACTATTTTAAGTTTAGCAACTAATATTTTTTTTCTTTTATTTTAAGCTCTATGGTGGGGTTAACTTTTTATTATCCCATCTCTTACCTTACCGTGTATACTTATAATTCAAATTTGGCATTAATCATTATACTTAAAAGGAGAAATAAAGGGGAGATTACAATTAAGTTGTTTAAATGCTTGATATTAGCAACTAATATTATGCATGATGGTGATTTGTTAAATATGAGAAATATTACTAGATTATTATGTATTTTTAAATATTAGTTGTCAAAAATAAAGGAAATAAAAGCACAATTCAAAAATAAAAGCATTATATATGGCATTTTATAACATTTAACAGGAAATTGAGATTAATAACTTAACGTTACGAAATTCTTTTTTTTTTTTTTGAAGTTATTCGTCTATATTTTTATTTTTGTTTTTTTAAACTAAAGTTACATTACATTAATAAAAATTAGTACTAAGTATCAATTTTAAATTACTTGCATTAAAGTAAAAAAGCAGTATATAATAGCAATTTCCGATGTCCAAATTTTTTTTAATAAAAGAGCAAAAAAGCAGTTGCAATTTTCTTTTTTTTTTTTTTCAACTTTAATCCCCCTGACAGCCGCCATAAACTGGGAGCCCTAATCATCAACTTATTAATTTTTTCCACTTCCCGTTTTTCTTCGCCATCTCCTTCGCTAACCCCTACACAGTCCCGTAAATCCCTATCCACAGGCCGCCGCCGCCGCCTTTGGTCTCTCCTCGGTCTTCCTGCTCTCTGTCTCCTTCACTCCTACTTCATCCCCGATCACCGATATGGATCTCGCCAGCCTCGCTGTTATTCTCCAAGCTGCTCTGAGCACCAATCCTGATGAACGCAAAGCCGCCGAACACAGCCTCGATCAGGTACACCTCCGATTTCACCAGTAATTCTTTCCATGTTGCATATCGTCTTTGATTCTCTCTCTCCGCTAGATTCTATTGGTTTCGATGCTACTTCGTCACAATCTTGATTTACGCGATTTCGTTTTGCAGATTCAGTTCACGCCTCAGCATCTGGTGAGGATGTTGCGGATCATCGTGGACAATAATTGCGACATGGAAGTGCGACAAGTAGCCAGTATTCACTTCAAGAACTTTATAGCCAAATACTGGACGCCCAATGAACCTAGTAAGTTGTTTTCGTTTTCTTCTTGAGAATTGCTTGCTCAAAATTTTCAATTATTGTCTGTGTTAAATGCGTTATTTAGTTTTTTTTTTTGTATCAATATGTAGACGAGCAGCAGGAGATCTCGCTGAATGATAAAAACTTGGTGAGGGAGAACATTCTTCATTTTGTTCCCCAAGTTCCAATATTGTTGAGGTACATTTGTTTGAGTCTCTTTACTTTTTCTTTGTCAATACTAAGATCCTGTCTTGCAACTGCAAACCTATGCCCTAGCCTTTTGCTATTAATGCTATTAATTGTATATATATATATATATATATATGGTATTGAGTATGTCCTGTATGGTATAATTTTCTCCGACGTGCAATGTGGAGGGTTTGTTTTTGTTTTGTTTCCTTTTTCCCATAATCTATTCATCAATTGTAGCTGTAACCCTTTCTCCCACGCATGTGTAATGATGTTACAGGGTGCAATTAGGCGAGTGTATTAAGACAATTATTCACGCTGATTACCCGGAGCAGTGGCCGAGTCTTCTTGACTGGGTGAAGCATAACTTACAAGCCCAACAACAACCTCAAGTTTATGGAGCTTTGTTTGTCTTGCGGATTCTAGCAAGAAAATATGAGTAAGTAGCTAAGATACCAAAGTCCTAGTTAATGTGCATCATAAATTATGGTGGTACTTTAATATTGGATAAAGAGTCTTTGTCATTATTTCAATTGAATTAAGTTGCAAAAACAGCAACACTGGCAATTGCTTTTCTACACTGCATATTTTGCTTTATTTGTAAAAGCATGGTTGGGTCATTGATATTGGATAAAGAGTCTTTCCTTTGTCATTATTTCAATGCTCTTTCATTCTTTCTTGTAATTTGATGCTTTTGTACAACTCTGCACAGGTTAGATAATAATATTGTTGATCTGTTCTTAGCTTTGAGGAATTCTATCCTGACTTTAATTTTGAGCCATTTGGCACCCTCTGTCCCTCTGGTCCTTTATTGAACTCTTCACCTTTTTTTTTTTTTGGTTCATTTTAGGTTCAAGTCAGATGAGGAGAGGATTCCTGTTTCTCGCAATGTTGAGGAGACATTTCCTCATCTTCTCAATATATTTAATAGCCTTGTCCAGATTGTCAACCCATCAGTGGAAATAGGAGATCTAATCAAGCTTATTTGTAAAATCTTCTGGTCATCTATATATGTAAGTTTTTTTTATTGATGTCCTCAAATGGTGTGCTACAGTTCCCCTGTGTAGAATAATATGTCATGGATTTTGAGCATCTTTTTGGCATAGCCACATTGAAACAGTATTCTAAGTACAGCACATGAACTATTTTCTCTATGCTTTCTCATTTATCTTTCTAGTTAACCTATTATTATTTACTAATCTCGTGTGTTTCTGACAAATCAGCATTCTCTGAAGGACTATAATTTTATCATGTATTTGTTTGCTGCTCATAATCTCCCCATTCTTCTTTGTCAACAGAATTACAAATAAGTGTTTGTTAGTTCTTGTTATATCAGTTAAAGAAAAAAAATCATTTGGCTATCTGAGTGCCAGCATGAAAGTGATCCTGTTTGCTGCATTTCACGTGTTTTTTAAGATTGTTTATGCATTGAAGTTCTTGATTCAAACATATTGTACCATTAATGTGTATTGGTTCTTCAATGACTAGTATTATTCTTTTTCAAAAGTTTCTTTCAACTTATTTACCTTTTTTTGGTTGTTATTGTACATTTTAGTTGGAGATTCCAAAGCAGTTGCTTGATCAAAATGTTTTTGATGGTTGGATGGCTCTTTTCTTAAATGTTTTGGAGAGACCTGTACCACTGGAAGGGCAACCTGTGGATCCTGAGCTTAGAAAATCTTGGGGCTGGTGGAAGGTGAAGAAATGGACAGTTCACATTTTAAATAGGCTGTATACTAGGTAAGTTTCTCCAGTGGAACAAGTTTGATTAATTAGTTAGCACTAGTCCTATGGCAAAGGCCTCTCTCTGATCATAGATGACTATTAGGTTTGGAGATTTAAAGCTTCGGAACCCAGAAAATAGAGCATTTGCCCAAATGTTTCAGAAGAATTACGCAGGGAAGATTTTGGAACGTCACTTAATTTTATTGAGTTCAATCCGTGTTGGTGGTTATCTGCCAGATAGAGTTACCAACCTTATTCTTCAATATTTAAGCAGCAGGTTTGCAGCATCTTTTGTTATGTGGCTTTGTATTTGTACCCTTTTCTTCTAATGGATTTGATAGTATTTGTCTTTTTGAATAGCAGTACCAAAATTAATTTTTTCTTCTTCTTTTTTTCTTAATGAGAAATCTTGACTTCTAATTATTATTTATGTGCAGTATCACAAAAAGTAGCACGTATAATTTGTTGCAACCACAGCTTGGTGTTCTTCTGTTTGAGATAGTTTTCCCCCTCATGTGCTTTAACAACAATGATCAAAAGCTCTGGGATGAAGATCCTCATGAGTATGTTAGGAAGGGTTATGGTGAGCTTGCAAAACCAGTTTTGATTCTTCAGAAGACTAAGAATAGTTAATCACAGTTAAACAGATCTTTATAGATTTAATTGTTATGTTGCAGATATAATTGAAGATTTATACAGTCCAAGGACTGCTGCAATGGACTTTGTTAGTGAGTTAGTTAGAAGACGTGGAAAAGATAACCTTCATAAGTTTATTCAGTTCATTGTAGAAATTTTCAAGAGGTATTCATTTTCTTTTGCGGTGCACCACTTGCATAGTGGTTATTGACTTTCAGAATGGTGGTAATTTTGTGAACATGTTCTTCTTTTTTATTTTGTCCATTGTGTTTTTTTTGGACCCTTTTTCCAGATATGATGAAGTACCAGTAGGATATAAACCTTATCGGCAGAAGGATGGTGCTATGCTGGCTGTTGGAGCGCTTTGTGATAAACTGAGACAAACTGAGCCCTATAAATCTGAGCTGGAAAGAATGTTGGTGCAACATGTTTTCCCTGAGTTTAACAGTCCTGTTGGTCATCTTAGGGCCAAGGTTTGTTGTTCATCAGCATTTCTTCATTCTGTTGCTAATACCAACATTTGAGTTTGCATTCTGGAATATGTTGGTAGTTCCCTGTTTCCTAACAACACATCAGTCTACCTTTTGTTTAACATTTATGTGGTTTGGATATTAGGCTGCTTGGGTTGCAGGGCAGTATGCTCATATTAACTTCTCAGACTCAAACAATTTCCGTAGTGCATTGCATTGTGTTGTTTCTGGTTTGCGTGATCGGGAACTTCCTGTTCGTGTTGATTCTGTTTTTGCGTTGAGATCATTTGTTGAAGCTTGCAGAGGTATGGAGCTAATTCTGTTCTGGAACTTTGATTTCTTGGAGTCAGATTATTAATCTATGTTCAGATTTTTATTTTTGTTTTGATTTTTATTTTCATTCTCGGTTGAATGGAAAGTTTAGTCTGGGACTAAAAGTAATATTTATATGCAGATTTAAATGAGATCCGCTCCATTCTTCCTCAATTACTTGATGGTAAGTACCTTTTGAAATTGGATATTCATTATTAACAGTCACTGTCTTTTAGTTGGCTGTAGGCTGTTTTGCATTTCATAACTTTTGAGATCTTGCATGTGATTCTGTTTCAAAATTTCCCTCCCAAGCTTCTTATCAAATGGTCTTGGTTCATTTCTTACAGAGATTTTTAAACTTATGAATGAAGTTGAGAATGAGGATCTTGTTTTCACTTTGGAGACAATAGTCGACAAGTTTGGCGAGGAGATGGCCCCTTATGCTCTAGGGTTGTGCCAGAATTTGGTAAATGGAGGTTCCCATTATTTTTTAAGAGTTACTCTCTACTTTTACCTTTCAATGCTTAAAATTATTTTCATGTCTTTGTTTTCAGGCGGCTGCATTTTGGAGGTGCATGAACACTGCTGAGAATGATGATGAAGCAGACGATCCTGGTGCACTAGCTGCAGTTGGTTGTTTACGTGCCATAAGCACAATTCTTGAATCTGTCAGCAGACTTCCTGACCTTTTTGTCCAGATTGAGCCAACTTTGCTGCCCATCATGCGTAGAATGTTGAATACTGATGGACAAGGTATCCATGTGACTTCAATTTTTGCTTTGTGATACCTGGTTATATTTTGATTTTGATTTTATTTATTCTTGTTTTTGCAAATGAAATGGAATTTAATTTGAGGAAAGTGGAAATGAGAAGTGATAGGAATAACGGCATGAAGTGGAAAACTAAAGATTATAACTACTAAGTATTGATTTCTTTTAGAATGATATTTGATTGGTCTTTAAATTGAAGGTTTCTATTTATTATTTATTCTGGAAATTCATGATTTCTTCTTTTGATTTGGCAGAGGTGTTTGAAGAAGTTTTGGAGATTGTCTCATATATGACCTTCTTTTCTCCGACAATTTCTTTGGACATGTGGAGCCTTTGGCCTTTGATGGTTGAAGCACTGGCTGATTGGGCCATAGACTTCTTTGCAAGTATGATTTTGGTTCATGTCTTGCTGCAAATAGTGCTTATGGACTCCTTGCTGTTAGGATTATACATTGTCTTGCAAAGATTGAAGTAATTTTTTCTTTGAGGAAATTGTGTTAGGTTTATTAGTTTCTAGGTTGACTTGAAAGGCTATCTGAATTTCAGTTTATGGTGATGCTTTACTTATGTACTTATCTTCAACATGTAAATTCTGAGAAATGACTGCATTTTTATGCAGATATTTTGGTTCCTTTGGACAACTATATATCTAGGGGAACTGCACATTTTCTTACTTGCAAGGAACCAGATTACCAGCAAAGTCTGTGGAATATGATTTCAACTGTGAGTTTCTTTATTTAAAATGAATTACCTAGTTGACCGCTAACTGTGCTGAGAGACAACTGAAAAAGATAATTGTTGAGAATTTTGATCCCTTTTTTAGATGTGTCTTTTTCCTTTTGTGTCATTGATTTTTCTGCTGGTTGATATTTTCCATGTATTCATCTTCTTTTTCAGATCATGGCTGATAAAAATTTAGAAGATAATGATATTGAGCCAGCTCCCAAGCTTATTCAAGTAGTTTTTCAAAATTGTAGAGGGCAGGTGGATCGTTGGACTGAACCATATCTCAGAATCACAGTTGATCGTTTGCGTCAAACAGAGAAGTCACGTTTGAGATGTCTTCTCATGGAAGTGGTAAGGAGGCTGGGTCTACCATATTTTTAAAAAGATAATAATTTATTTATTGAAATGTCCTCCCCTTACACTATATATAAGGTTTCACATATATTGATTGCTGTCAAGGCTGCAGAAAGCGCTAGACGATGGTGGGCGGTTGCCCACAGCCTAGAGCCTAGAGTGCCTAGGCAGTTTTTTTTTTTTTTTTTAATAATAATTTTTTGATATAATTCTAAGAGAATAAGAAAAAAATGTAAAACAATTTTAAAAATTATAATAAACCACTTGATATAATTTTTTGATGTAAAACAATTTTTTGATATAATTCAACAGGTTTCAAAGGTTTTTGTTTTTCTGCATTCTCCCTGTGACTCAGGAGAGCTTGCTTCCTCCCCCTAATCCCATAATAAACCACTTGGCAGTGTGCCTCCCAAAAAGCAGGCTTTCTGTTTCATTTGAGACAAGTCATTGCTCCTATTATGAACAAATTCAGTGAAAAGTAGACATGTTTTCTTTAAGCAGTTCGGACCATTATAAATGTTCATTGACTCACCACCACAGTATTTGTAACTTTGGTTTTAATTCCAATATTACCCTTTTATGGTAAGAAACAGCTTCCAATAGGAAATTTTCTTGAGCAAACTCTTTTTCTTTTTACCTCAGGTAGCTGATGCACTTTACTACAATGCATCATTAACACTTGGCATATTGCATAAACTTGGTGTTGCCACTGAAGTATTCAACCTTTGGTTCCAATTGTTGCAACAAGTTAGAAAGAGTGGTCTTATGGCTAATTTTAAGAGGTAGCTTATTGTTTTATCTAATTTGCTCTCCTCCCCTCTCTTTGTGAGTGTTGTTGAAGCCTTCACCTTGAATTTCTTCAAGCTGTATGATATAACTGA